GGCCCGGCTCCGGCCAGTACTGCAGGCACGGCTGGCGGCACGGGCAGGGAGACGGGCGCTGAGCGGAGCCTCCGGGCAGCTGCCACTCACCCACCCCAACCTCCACACTTGCGCCGGGACTCCCACGCACCCTGGCCCACCCACTCACTCCGGACTCCTCTTCAGAGCCACCCACCACTCACCCACAACTGCATGCACACCTCAGAGTGGGTGCCCTGGTGCTCTACGGCCACACCTAACACACCTCCACAGGCTGCCTTCGCCCAGGGGTGCCTCATCGGCCCTCCCATCCCTGCAACCCCGCCCCCTGGTCTTCTCTCTCACTACCTCTGCCCCCCAGCATCAGCTCAGACATAGGGTGTCCCTGATGCTGCGACACAGCTCAGCTCCTGCCCAAGATCACTCCATGGAGTGAGGGACCTACACATATCCCCCTCCAGGCCACAGACTCGAGACAGCAGAGGGACAGAGGCGGAAGGGCCCCCCCACACACGCACAAGTGCTCCGGGCTAGTCGGTCCCAGGCCCAGCTTCTAGTCTCAGCTCTTCCTGATTCTGGGCCCATTTTTCTGCCTGTGAAGTGGCCCCATGCGCCTCCCAGACAACTCCAGGCTCCACTGCTTCCCTCTCTGACCACACCTTCCTCTTTACTACCTTCCTCTTTCAGCCGGGGCTTCGGACAAGTCCTCACATTCAGGCCTTTGCACGTGCTGCTCCCTCTCCATGGGTCACTCATCCTCCAACCTCCAAAGCAGCTCTCACCCTCATCATCTTCATCCCTGCCACGTACTGAGAGCCTGTGTACTCGACATGGCCCAGCGCTACGCATCCTACCTACGTCTGACATGGTCCTGACAATAACCCCACGAGCGAACAGGTGCTCTGATGGTGCCCATTTCACAGAGAAGGAAACGAAGGCTCAAACTATCTCCTAGATCGAACAGTCAGAAAGTAAGGAGGCTGGAACTTTTTCTGCCTCAAAGACGCCCCACGATGGGCAGTTTAGTTCAGCAACTCATCGGCTCTGGAAGGAGGCAGCACAGCTCCGTACTTCCCAGCTGTGACCTTGGAGAAGTTGCTTTGCCTCTCTGAGTCTTAATCTTCTCACCTGCAGCCCATAAGTGCAGAGCAGAGTCCCTGGCACAGCAGGGACTTCATAAAAAGCAGCTCTTTTCCTCCAGTCTGACCATCTCATTTTACAGACAAGGAAACGGAGGCCCAGGAGGGAACATGACCTGTCTAAGGCTACTCAACCAACAGGCGGCAGAGCTGGGATCCAACCCCTGACTTTCGAGATGTGCCCCTGAACGCACGGTGGCGTGGGCAGCAGGCAGCCAGTGCGCCCAGCAGGGCCCTCACCCAGGCGGAGTTGGACTGGTGCAACTGGTTGAGCATGACGATGGAGGTGCACCCGTAGTCGTAGACCAGCCTCCAGAAGTCAGGTGTGGTGCTCTGCAGGGGGTGCAGGGTCACGATGAAGGCTGCGCTCCGCGTGTAGCTCTGCAGGGAGACCAGGACTCAGCAGGGTCCCCTCCCCACCACGACAGAGCCCAATCCTCTGCCACAGGCTGATCCTCTCCCCGCCACCCACACAGCTGTGCCCCACAGGACCAGGCTTGCGGCCATTGGCCCATTTCACAGGTTGGCCACTACATTGACACCTGAGCGGGCAGTGTGAACCCCCAGACCTCTCCGGCGTCCAAGCCTATGGCTCCAAGGAACTAAACAGCAAAAGGTTCCCAAATGTGTGACAATGGGAGCTTCGGCCTGGTAGGCAGAGGCTGGCCAAGCCTGCTCTCTGCCTCAGGGCCTTTGCACATGCTATTCCTATTGCCTAGAACAAATTTCCCAAGTGTTTACACGGCTTTCTCCCTCACTTCTTCCTGGTCTTTGCTTAACTGTCACTTCCTCCAAGAGGCCCTCCTTAACCTTAACCTCATCAAAAATACCCACACATGCAAGCCCCCAAAACCCACATTAAATATTTCTTCTGCCTGGTTGATTTCTGTAGCGATTACCAGTGTCTGACATTCTGTTGGATATTTGTTTAATAATTGTCTCAACCTATTCCCCAAATGCAAAGGTTAAGAGATCAGAGATTTGGGACTGTGGCCTGTACCCAGAGGCCCATTCCCACCCAGGGCCAGGGAGCCCCAGTGCGACCCTCCCCAGCTCAGAGACCCACAGGACCCTCACAGAGCCTGCTGCCCAGCCCAGTGTGCAGATGGGCACCCTGGGGCCAAAGAGGGGCTGGGAGGAAGGTCACCGATTCCTAAGTTCCCATCCAAAACTCTCTAGTACCCATGCCCTGCCTCAGGGCCCTGGCCCCCTCAGCATGGGCATGCACACCCACCTACTCATGCATCCCACCAGGCCAAGTGACAATGGCTGGTGGGCCCCTCTCCAGCCGCTCCCTTCAGTGGCTGGGGCTCCTCCTCCCCTGGCCTTAAGCTCACACCGGAAGCCCTTGGGAAGCCAGCACGGGGGCTTCCCTCTTTAGGGAAACTCCCCTGTCCCCCGCACTATACTGCCAAGGGACTCTGCCGGGAGCCAGGCCCCTCTCCCTCATACCTGCTCTGAAAATACCTCCCTCTCCACGTCTCACCTCCATGTGGAGGGACATCAGTGGTCAGCAAATCTGTCACTGGCCCACCTTCCTGCACTCCCCCCATGGCAAGTTTGGGACAAGGACTGAGCATGCTCAGCTCTGCCCCTTCCCCTCTTTTCCCAGGCCTGCCTGTCCTCAGAAAGTGTGCGTTCAACTGCTCCTGCTCCTGCTCCTGCTCCTGCCACATGTAAAGGCCTGTCCCTGGTGGGAAGGGGGGGCCTGTGGCTGCGCAGCTGTATCCAGGACAAGTCTGCCTGACTCGGGAGCGAAGGAGGAGCCAGTCCTTAGCCACATGTCGGAAGTCACATTCTCCGGTTTTATCCAGTCTGTCTCCTGCACCCACCTCTCAGCTGGTTCCATTTGGGAGAGGAAAGGGGTAATGCTCACGGACTCTTCCCTGTCTCCCTCATACAGCAACATCTTGGGGTTACTCCTTGGGGACTAAAGCCCCTGTTCTGCTTGCAACACCCAATGCAGGAGGTGGAGCCCCCTAGCTGAGAGCAGGGGAAGAGGCTTCTAAATGGCTCCTGAGCCCTCAGACCAAGCCAGGGTGGGGCCAGGGAGCAAGTCACCACCCTGCGCCATGTCCTGAGCCCGGCTCCCGCTCAATCACCCCAGCACAAGCTCCCCTGGCTCCAGACTCCAGGTCTCAAATCCCAACCCCAAACCCTCCTATCCTCCCAGCCAAGGCCCCCAAATCACTCCTACCCAGGCCCTGCTTGGTCCTGGAGCCAGCCCTCCCTGGACTCCACCACCCAACCCCGACTCAGGCCAAGCGGGGAGCCTGAGGGGGAGACTGGCTTTGATGTCCTGAATCGAGCTCATTGGGGGTAGAAGAGTCACCCCTGAAAGGGCAAAGGGTCCCAGAACCAGAGCCCTCAGTTCTACTCTCTGGCTCCTGGATGTCCCCACCTGCTGGGGTATGAGGGGGCAGTCCCAGAGCCCACCCCATGCCCGAGCCCTCACATCAGTCAGGGCCGCGTTGATGTAGTTGTTGGGGTCCCCGTCGGTGGAGATGAGGAAGGGCAGGCAGCGGTCGGGCGGCAGGACGTCCATGCTGCGGTTCTTGTCTCGGTTGCGGGGCAGCAGGGCGATGCTGCACTCCTCCACGTCCAGCGTCGGCGTGACCGAGTTCAGCGTCTACAAGGAGTGAGAAGAGGAATGGGGGTGGCATCCAGCCCTTACGGGGCCTCCTCACAGCCCCATGAAGGAAACTGGGCTGAGTTATTCATCCCCTCTCTGACTCCTACAGCCCTGAGGACCTCCAACACACACACACACACACACACACACACACACACACACACTCACAAGCCACACCTACATACCTACACACACCTATACATAACACTCCTGCCCCACCTGGAACTCTTCCCGCAGCTGGGAGGAATTACTCTGAGGGTCAATACGGATCATCTCCTTGTAGGTAGCCTTGAATTCACTGACAGGGATGGTGGTCTCCCCACACAGGCAGGCCTCCAGGATTGCATCATGGATGAAGATATACTGCTCCTAGAACAGGAGAGGAGAATATGAAGAACCAGGAGGGGCAGAGAAGCTAGAAATTTGGGGTGGAGGCAGGAGGAAGCACGCCCAAGGTTGAGGCACGGGTGTGCTGATGTGGAGGTCAGCCACGTGGTACTACAGGTTGGGCCAACCCTACTTGAAACAACCTTCATGGGTACGTTCACTTATATTTCATCCCTATAACAACCCTGTGAGCAGCTCTGACGGTGCGGGCACAGCCCAGAGCCACATCTAGCGAGGGTACAGACAGGTCCTACCTTGACTGCAGAACCTATGACCTTGACCCACTGTTACTTGACCTCACCCAGCAGGACACAGTGGAGCTGAGTCTGGGAGACCCTGAGAGGTTGGCAGGGAGGGGAAAGAATAAGGGGGCATCCTAGGAAGGGGAAAGGCCTGAGGACACCCTTCTGATACCAGCCTGCAGGACTCGAGTCCTGGAGAGGGGGCTGCATCCCCTACCTCAGTCTGGATCATGTTGACGCGCCGGGAGCAGAGGGTCTTCACGCAGTTGTAAATGTCCACGACACCCTCACACTCGGCCATGTCCAGCATCACGTCCAGAACGATGTAGCAGCCTGTGCGGCCAGTGCCGGCGCTGGGGAGAGAATGGCCCGGGCCAGGTCAGGGCCTTGGGAAGGGAGCCCAGGGCCAGGGGGGAGAAAAGAGAGGCACCTGGCCACGTCTCCACCACTCAGGGGAGGGGACACAGAGAGACCTCCTCCCCGGGCAAGGAAGAGCCAGGGAGAAAGCCTCTGGAGAGTGCTGGTGGGAGGTGGTTAGGATAGAGCTGGGGAGGGGCCTCGGAGAAGGAGAGAAGGGAAAGGGGTAGGGAGAACGCAGAGGTGAAACTTAGCAACTTGGATCGGAGGGGAGGGACAAAGGTGATGCTCAGAGCTTAACCCAAGACTGTTCTTGCTCCTGGATATTCCTCCAATCTCCTGCACATCCCTCAAAGCCCCACCCACTCACAACCCTTCCAGCCAACAGCATTCTTTCATGAAAGCACCTTTCCTGCTATCAGCGGTTCTCAACCTGTGGGTCGCGACCCCTTTGGCGGTTGAACAACCCTTTCACAGGGGTCGCCTAAGACCATCCTGCATATCAGATATTTACATTACGATTCATAACAGTAGCAACATTACAGTTATGAAGTAGCAACGAAAATAATTTTATGGTTGGGTCACAACATGAGGAACTGTAGTTAAAGGGCCAGAAGGTTGAGAACCACTGGCTACGTGGTCACTGGTTACGCGACTGTCTCCCTAGCCCGACTGGGAGCTCACCGAGAGCTGGGCTGAGTCTCATCTGTCCCTGGGATCTTCGTGCTGAGCACCAGGTAGAGCAAAGTTCAGGGTGGGAGGCAGGGGGAGGGGGGGAAGGGAGGCCGACAAAGATGACACCAAGATTTCAAGCTTGAAAGTAGCAGTATCGAAGTGTTGTCAGGGACATCAAGCAACTGGGTCCCCCATATACTGCTGGTGGAGGCTTAACTTCGAACAACCATTTCGGAAACCCGGCAGTATCTACGAAAGCTGAATGTTTGCAGACAGCAGCTCCACTCCTACACACAACCCACAGAAATGCGTATGTATGTTGGCCACAACATGCAATAGAATGTCCTTAGCAGCACTATTCCTATAGCTCAAAACTGGAAACCGCCCAAATGCCTATCAACAGCAGAACCAATAAACACATTGTGGTTTATTCATCCAGGCAAATAAGATAAAATATGAATGGAACTTGGGGAACATAAGGTTGAGGGAAAAAATTTAGACACCAAAGAGCACCTGCTGTACCATTCCATTCACACCCAGTTCAAAACACACGCACCACCAACCTATGGTTCAGAAGTCAGGACAGTGATTGGTCAGGACAGTGATTGGTCAGGACGGTGATTGGTCAGAGTGGGAGGAGGGGGTTCAGGGGCCTCTGGGTGCTGGTAACGTTGTTTCTTGATCTGAGTAGTGCTGATTATCCCTCGGGTGTGTGCAACTTATGAAAATTCATGATGTCATATATACACTTATTTGTGCATGTTGCTTCAAGTATATTATTCATGGATGAAGTTTTATTCTAAAAAGATGGTATCCTAAAGAAGCCTAAAGAAACCAAAGAGAAGCTGGTTTGCGGGTGGCAGGGCAGGCGGTGGCATGAGCTCGCTTTGTGGCATCGGGGGAGCTGATAAGAAGCCAAGGAGAGGCTCCAGGACAAGATACAGCTAACCTGGGCCCAGGGGCCACAGGTCAGAGGTAAAGCTCTCCAAGGGGATGGGGGGAGAAGGGAATAGTTGGGGAAGGAACAGGACGGGGCACTGGGCCTCCACGTAAGAGGAAGAAGGAAGATGAGCAGAGGAGGAAGCAGAGCAGAGAGAGGAAGGGCAACTGGGGGTCACGGGACCCAACCAAGGAGAAGTCAGGAGAGCTGTGGAAGGTGGGAAGGCCGAGGGTGAGGAAAGTCCCTGGGTTTGGAGAAAAGAAGAGAAGGCCAAGTCCTTGCTAGCACCTGGGCCACACCTAGCCTGCAGGCGTAGGTGACACTTGCTGAACGGAAACAAACAGAACTTGACCCCGCCTGGTGCCGCCAAGCTCAACGCCTCTAGGTCTCTGGTGTCTCCTGTGTCTGGGCCAAGGGCCTCCCCAGGTTCTGGGAAGGACATGAGGGTGCCAACCTTAGAGCCAAAGTAAAAATGGCCCTTGGGGGTCATTCTCTCCTCTCCTCTATCTCTCGTTAGAATGAACACCCAGCATCCTATAAGGACCTTGAACCAACCCCACTCGCGGCCTCTCTTCTCCTGGACCCCCAGCGCCCCACCTGCAGTGGATGACGATGGGCCCAGCGTCCGGCGGGGTGGAGGCCTTCACGCGCCGGATGAAGGCCAGCAGCCCCGTGGCGTGGTAGGGGACGCCGTGCTCCGGCCACGCTGTGAAGTGGAACTGGCGGACCTCGTGCCGGGCAGAGTAGCCTCTCTGGGGAGACAACAGTAACTGCAGTTAGTCACCCCGGGCATCTATTAGACGCCTGCTGTGTGCCAGGATCTCAATCAGTCCCAAAAATAAACTTAGGAGTGGGTGCTAACGCTCCTGGTACAAGCGAGGAAACTAGGCTCGTGGAGGAGAAAGCCCTTGCCCCAGGTTAGCTACCCAGGACTTGGGCGGGTCTGCCTGATGCCTGCCCCTGCGCCAGTGAACACCTACCTCTCACACCAGATTGTTGTTCTGACGCTCGGCTCTCAGTCTAAGACGAAGACCAGAGGGTTTACAGAGGATCAAATGGGATCATGTATGGGAGGGCTTGTCCACAGGCCCTGTGGCCTCTCATGAGTGATGTCACCACCCTGAGCCTCACTTTCCTCGTCTGTAAAATGGGGCTAATGGGAAATGCCTAAGCCTAGAGCTTTCGGGGCTGAAACAGCATGTGTGACACTCTCAGCAGTGTCCCGTACACAGTAAGACCAACAACCAGCAACTATCGCAGCATCTTCATACCTTGACTTCCGCATGGAGTCGCCAGCAAAGACAGCTTCTCGCCCTATCACGGTGCTCCCAGCAGGTACCAGGCAGCTGCCTAGTGGGAGGGCAGCAATGCCCTCCCCCCTCCTGCTCCTGGGCTGGGGGAGGTGGGGAGGTGGGCTCTGCCCCGCCCCATCAGGCACCCCCCAGTCATCAGGTGACAGGAGACTCACCCGCTCCAGGGCAAAGGTGCGCACAACGTATTCTGCTAGCGTCTCCGTCTTCACCAGCGTGATCTTGATGTCCCCGTACATGTCCGAGTCTTCCGGCCAGTAGCGCGAGCACTTCACCTGGAGTCCCCACGGGGCAGGCTCAGCGGGCTCTTTGCTGCCCCCTCGGCCTGCCATGCCCCTCGCCCCACAGCCCGCTTACCCTGCCCACTTCCACCAGCTTGGTGATCATGACGATGCTCGAACAGTGCTCCTGCCACACCAAGCGCCAGAAGTCGTAGACCATCTCGGGCTTCGGCCCTGGAGGCACAGAGGGTGCTTGTCCCTGAGGCAAGGTCTCCATCCAGGGCCAGCACCCCCACCGCCCGGCATCAGCATTCCTGGCCAAGAGGCTCCTGAGTCCCAAGGGGGGCTTCATGCACACACCACCCACACCCCCACCAACTGTCAACTCAGGCCTGGAGGGCCCTGGGGACGGGGAGAACCAGGGAGGGCCTGGCTAGGGACCTGGGTCATCTTGAGAGGAACCCAGTAGGCAGAGCTGGAGGGCCATGGCCCAAGTCTCCAGAAAGGATGGACAAATGCACAGTCAGAAGGAAAAGACACAGCCAGAGGGACCCAGGCGGCCCCCAGACTGGGGCACAACCCACAGCTCGGAGGTGCTGATACTGGTGTCTCCCTTTGCATGCACCACCTTGGGGACAGACAGATGGACAGGGAGCTACAGATGGACTGGGCACATCAGGAAGACATAAGCACAGGCAGGTACAAACTAACAGCCAGATTCCAGAAGATACAGCCAGGTTGGAGCTCAAACAGACAGAAACAGCAGAGAGACAGAGTCAAGCAGTTCAGTAGGGGAGACAGGAAGGTGGCTGAGGGCGTTCGGCACACGGGGGCACGGGGGCACACGGGCAGACGTGCCAGGTACCTTGAGTGGCTATGAAGTGGTTTGATCTGTGATAACCCTGGAACAAAGAAGAGGGAACAGTGAGACCTCAGGGTCTCCTCCGCCCTTCTCCCCAGCACAAGTACACCCCACCCCCAGCACTGCCCCTCCCTTTCCCCAGGACTTCCTGTCCCACCAGTCCCCGAGCAAGAAGGGAAAAGCAGCTGGGACACCAGTGTCTTGGGTCTAGATCAGCGGTTCTCAACCTGTGGGTTGTGACCCCTTTGGCGGTCAAACGACCCTTTCACAGGGGTCGCCTAAGACCATCCTGCATACCAGATATTTACATGATGATTCATAACAGTAGCAACATTACAGTTATGAAGTAGCAACAAAAATAATTTTGTGGTTGGGTCACAACATGAGGAACTGTATTTAAAGGGCCAGAAGGTTGAGAACCACTGGTCTAGACCCATCTTGGCTGTGTGACCCCAGGGAGGACAAATTCCTTTTATGGGCCTAGAGGGTCTCCCCATCCATAAATTGGGAACAGTTATCCACAATCTGCTGGCGACCCAGCTGTTGTTTGGAGAAAAATAAAATCCAGGGTGATCCTGCCCTGTCCCCAAAGCCCCAGAGGCCCCAAGCAACCCCAGACCCAGGGCTGGGTCTTGTCAGCGATCCCAGCCCACGCGAGGCGACCAGAAGGGAGAGCGCCCCGGCTACTTTAGTCACCCAGAGCTTGGGGGCCCAGAGGAAGGCTTCAGGTTGGGAGCAAATGAACACGGGTTACTCGTGGTTCTTATAAATATTTTTTAAATCCTTAAAAATCAGTAATAAATTTTGAGACCCTATTAAGGCCACCTACTGTGCTAAGCACTTTACCTGAATTATCTCCCACTAGAGATGCCAAGAGCTACTTCATCCTCCATGCCCAGGGCCCTCGGGCAGAGAAGAGGCACCGGCCAGGCCCCACCCCTGCCTCACCCTGCCCCAGGGCCACAGCTGCCCAGGGGGTCCTGCCCAAACGAGATACCCGGGGTCTCAAAGGGTACGGGATTACATATAAGAAGTCCTGCAGGGCTGGAGCAAGAGAAAACCACCAAGGTCAGCCACTTGTCTCAAGCTCATGCCCTCCCTGAACTCCTCCACCCCAGGCCCAAGGAGCTCTGGAGCCAGACCACCAGGGTTCAAACCCCAGCTCTGTGGAGCTCTTGCTAACTTGTGTGCCCTTAGGCAAATCGCTTCACCTCTCTATGCCTCGATGTTCACATCTATACAACGGGAAAGACTCCAGTATCTACTCTACTTCCTCGGGCTGTTGTGAAGAGTGAAGTAACATGTCAGGGTTTGGCACCAAGGCAAGCACAGTGTCAGCACTTAATCAACATAACTATCATTATTACGACTACTTCAAAGGTCAAAGAGTATCTTATCTTTCAAGATCCAAATAGTGTGGATGTCAAGAATTTCTGGGGCAGAAGGTGGTTTATTGTGAGGTTAAGAATCTTATCCTTGGAGTCAAGTGGACCTAGTTCTTGTCACAGCTCTGCCAAGTAGTAGCTATGTGACTCTAGAGCAGTGGTTCTCAACCTTCCTAATGCCGCGACCCTTTAATACAGTTCCTCATGTTGTGGTGACCCCCAATTTCATTGTTACAAATTGAACATAATTAAAGCGTAGTGATTAATCACAAAACAATATGTAATTATATATGTGTTTTCCGATGGTCTTAGGCGACCCCTGTGAAAGGGTCGTTCGATCCCCCAAAGGGGTCGCGACCCACAGGTTGAGAACCGCTGCTCTAGAGACTAAAGGGCACTTCTCAGCCACATGTGCACCTGGGGACCCAGATAAAAGGCAGATTCTGCTGCAGAAGATCTGCGGTGGGGCCCGGAACCGTGCATTTCCAAATACCTCCCCGGTGGTGCTGATGCTGGGCCTCAAAACACTGCGTAGCCAGACTCTCAGCCCCTCTAAGCTCGGTTCTCCTCGGCATAATAGGAGACATGCACCTCAGCCCACAACACAGTCAAAGACACCAATAATGAAAAGCCGCCCAGACTCACTCAGCCCTCAGTACCGGGCTCCTCCCGGTCTAGCCCAATGCCCTTCTGCTGTCTCCCGAGCCATTGTCTCTGCTCTGAGTCAGCAGAGCTGCTGGGCAGCTGGGGTGAGAGGGGAGGGCCCAGCGAGGGTGCCACCAGTGCTGCCCCCTCCCCAGTGCCGGTCAAGCTGGGAACAGGCTACTCCACCTAAAATAAAACCCACTTGCCTGAGAGCCCACATGGGAGCAAGAGCCTCTTCAGATCCATCCGTCTCTCTCTCTCTGCAGGGCCCAGCACCCACCCACACGCTAGTCAGCAAATGCAAGTTTTTAAACAGATAACCCTCAATATATGCGCATTACCTTTTTAATTGTGAACATGCATTATTGCATAATTATATTACATAGAGGACAGTGAAGTAGAAAGTTTAAAACAATCAGATTTAAAGGAAGAGAAGGGATCCATCTGGAGCAAACCCACTTCAGAGACCAGCATGGGAGAGAGAGCTCTGGTCCTCACACTCCAGGGCATCAGCTTGTCCTAGGAGCCTGACCCCGCACCCACCCCTCCCTGCAGCCTCCAAGCAGGTAGAACTGGGAAACCGACCACTGGCATCATGGGTGAGACCCCCAGGGCTCCTGATGCTCCGCAAAGGGGAAGAACCACAGTCCAGTGTGAGGATTGAGGGCTCAGGCTGGGGTGGAGGCCCGGCTCCATGCAGTTGTGAACAAGTCACCTAACTTTTCTAAGTCTTGATTTTCTCATCTGCCAAACGTGGTCCCCCAGCTAGCAGAGTGCGGTGAGGATGATATGCTAGCACAGCACGGCAGCACTCATGTTGACTGCTGTGTGAAGCCTTTAAGCCGAGGCTTCTGAGGGTGTTTCTTAAGGGTCTGACAACAAAGAGCCAAGAGGGTGGGGCTGTGCGTTGTGTGGAAACAGGGCATACAGAAGTATAACCACCTATATTCATCACCTCTTAATGGAGGCGCGCGGGCCGAGTGCAGCCACTGCACTTCGTGGGTCTAACGCCCCATTTAAATTTGGGAACCTCACAGAATAAGCACCCCCAATGTAAGGGGGTGTCTGGGAGCACATCTGCAGTAACTGGTCACCTCCAACAGATGCGACTGCAGGGAACTTTCACTTTACATTAGGCATCTCCGTGTTGTCTGATAATGAGCCATATTTTTGCAATCATAAAGAAAAATCAAGAAAAATATTTTTTAAAGAAATGAGGAAATTAAAATAGAAAAGGTATCCACAAAATAGCAAGCAATCCCATTAAGCATCAGATATTATGAAAATAATCTATACTAATAAAAGGGCAATATGCTAATTAGACTGGGAGACCTTCTGGGAGATCTTCTGGACATCCTTCCGGACAAAACCATGGTGACGGGGCCAAAGCAGAGGCGGTTAGGAGCGATTAGGCCAGGAGGGGAAGGCAGTTGGGGGTAATCAGGCCAGCGGGGGGGCAGTTGGGGGCAAGCAGGCTGGCAAGGGGAACAGTTGGGGTTGAGCAGGCCAGCAGGGGGGGCACTTGGGGGCCATCAGGCCAGCAGCGGGGGGCAGTTGGGGGCAAGAAGGCCAATGGGGGGGAGCAGCTGGAGGGGAGCAGGCCAGCAAGCAGAGTGGTTAGGGGCGAGCAGGCAGGCAGGTGAGCGGTTAGGAGCCAGCAGCCCTGGATTGTGAGAGGGTTGTCCGACTGCAAGTCAGACATCCCCAAAAGGGTCCTAGATTGGAGAGGGTACAGGCCGGGCTGAGGGACACACACCCCTGTGCACGAATTTTGTGCACAGGGCCACTAGTATATCTATAAATCAAATCGGAGGATCACTAGATGAATTTGGGGTTTTTTTATGGTCTTAAAGGCCCAAAGATGACACAATTTCTTAAAAATAGAATAGCCAAACTGCTCCCCCAAAATAAAACATTCAAATCAGGGCTAAATTGAGGGCAAAGTGGTTGGTGTTGAATTCAAGCAAACTCATCACTAAGGGATTGGAACACCAGGGAAACTAGTTTTAAGGGGACTGACCATGGCTGTCCTTGCTTCCTTGAAAAACAATCCTGACCCCGAAGCAGCAGAGACAGGGCCCCCAGGCAGCTCCCCCTGCCCATCCTTCCCAGGGCCCCCGAAGGTGTGGCTAGTGAGAGGACTGGGGCACAGCACGGGCTGGAGGACAAAGATGACAGAAGGTGGTAGCTGGTGCATAACAGGGCCTGCGGGAGCACCCAACCCTGCTGCCCACCGCAGGGCACTGGAGGACGGCAGGGAGCTGCTTACAACAGGGACAGTGTCGAGTCGGCAGCCCTGGGCAGCCCCCGGCCAGGCTGCTGAAATGGACGGTTGGTGTGGGGCACACAAGTGAAGGGAGAGAGGACAGAGACCAGAGACCGAGAGAATCTGAGATACAACCGGTCAGACAGACAGGAGGAAGAGGAAACGGGGAAGGGGAGATATACTTACTTCACGGTTTATCCGAATCTTAATGATTCCAGTGAGGGAACAGTACAAAGCAAAAAAGACAGATGTTAGGCCAGAGGCAGATGGAGGTGGACGGAGCACAGAAGTGGCCAGAATGGGCGATGCAAGCAGGGGAGGCAGAGCGGAGGCGGTGGAGGGGCGCAAAATGCATAATAGCATCTTTTCTGATGACCTGTGGACCTCTTTGTAAAGTAAAGTAAAATTAATTGGAGCATAGTGTGAGGGACTTAGGACAGGAATGGAGAATAAGGTGGACAATGCCATTCTCTAGTTTTTTCCTTCATATCCATTTACCCATTTCCTCCTCCTTTATTTTGCTTCTATTCTTGCTACTAGTAATACATTCATACAGTAATAGAGGTGAAAGGGGAGTTTAATTATATAATCCTGATGTCAGGGAGGGGTAGTGGCATGTCCCTGCTGGGGCCCAAGAAGAAGCCAATTGGGACCTTGAGGAGATCGAGGAAAGGTCTGTCATCAAAGTTGCTTCAGTCTGAGAAGCCAGGCCCCGCCCATATCCCAGCCAGGAGAGAGGATGGGAGGTGGGGAGAAGGCAAGGCATTCTGGGAAATAGAGCTTAGCTTGCCCGGCCCCCAGGAGGGGGTGAAGAACAGGGAGTAGAAGGTCATCTCCAGAATCCCCAACTACCCCACCTCCCAAATGCACCCCTTCCTCCTCCTACACACCTCAGGCCTTCGCTCACGCTCCTCCCTCCCTGGGGTGTCCTTCCCTCTCCTCTGAGGCCGCCCAAAGCCAGGGAAGCCCTCCTTCCTCCAGGCAGCCGACCAGGGCTGACCGCGGCTGTGTGGCCCTGCCACTAACCTGCTGTGGGACCCGGGAAAGTCCTCCTCTTTTCTGGCCTGCGCTTTCCCCTCTGATCTGACACTGAACTTGTGTATATAGTTATGTGTCTCCCCAACTAGAACGTGCATGTTCAAGGAGAGCAGGCACCGTGTCTGCTTGTTCACTACCGTATCCCTGGTGTCCAGCACAATGCCTGGTACATGGTAGGTGCTCAAATTATATCTGCTAAGCGAATCAATGATTCTCCCCCACACCTGGCGTGCTACAGGGTGAGGGAGTCTGACCAGTGTCTTGTCTCACCCTCCGCCATATGTGGGAGTAGACTTGTCACCCCTTCTTCACACCCAGCCCCGACCTCCTAGCTGCCTGCCCTGTCTCTGGCCCCTCCCCCCTGCCCCCCCCCCTTCCCATCCAGCCAGACCCACTTGCTGCAGTGATGGCAGGAGGGCCTCACAGTTCGCAGCCAAGGCTTTGGAGGCACAGGCTGAGATCTGAGCCCCTTCTTGACCGAGGCACTAGCTGTGTGACCCAGGAGAGGGAGCCTCACCTCTCTGAGCCCCAGAGTCCTCACCTGTAAAGGGAGGTCATGATGCTAACGACGTCCCAGGGTGGTTGCAGGGGTTGTGTAAAATTAAATATTTGGTATAAAGTGCTTAGCACAGTGCTTGGCATACAGTACGTGCTGAATAAATATGAATTCTTATCCTTAGGTACCACTCTGATCACGGTCAAAACTTTTAACAGCTCCCTGGTGCCCCTGGGGAAAGGCCCCAATTCCTTCACCTGTCATTTGAGGCCTTCACTCCAGCCCCTGCCTACCTTCAGCCTCACTGTGTGTCATGACAATCCCAGCTCCAAGCCCCTTGGGCCCTCACCGAGAGCGGATCCTTCCTCACGGCTGGGCCTCGCTGTCTACCCTCCTCCCTTTATGCTGCGTCTCTGAGGCCGCCATCTCTCAGGCCAAACCCCGAAGTCTGCAGGAGGCCTTCCTGATGACTGCGCCCACTCTGTCCCCCTGCTGAGCTCCCTGGCACTGATGCAGGAGACAGGGGCGCTCAGAACCCAGCCATTTGGATCCCCACATATCCCGACAGGTTCTGCCCCGCAGGGACAGGGAGCCTGGAGTGGGCAGGGCCAGGTCAGCAGAGATGGCGGGGGAGAGGCACTCACGTCTATGTAGTTGGCGTTAATGTAGTCAGCATCCGGGTCTCCCAGCATCGGGTGGAGCTTCACTCGGTGCCGATCATCTGGAAGCAGAGAGCAGAGGCCAGGGGGTGGGCAGGGGCTGAGCTGGGGAGCCCGAGCAGGTGCTAAGGGGAAAGCCTTCCTGGAAGCCAGACATGGGGTACAGGCAAGGCAGCCAGGAAACTGACCAATAGGTCTGTAGACCACAAGGGACAGGACAGGCCAGTGGTTAGCATCTGGGCTACAGCATCATGAAGGCCAGAGGTCGTGTGCTACACAGACAAGTATTAGCTTTGTGACCTTGGGCAAGGACCTTGGGCAAGGACCTTAACATCCCAGCCCCGGGATGTTCACGGGAGCCAAGCCTCAGTTTCCTTACCTGTAAAGTGGGGTTATAATATGTCCCACGTGACAGAGTTATTAAGAAAAGTGAGGTAATGGGTGTAACTCTCAGCACACGGCTGTGCACATGGTAGACACTCAATACATGGCTCCCTCTGGCTGTCCTCCCCTTCCTACCCCCCCGCCACTGCCCCAGACCCCGGGCCCCTCCCCAGGACTCACAGGCAGGCAGGGGCTCCTGCCGGCTGCCCTTGACCTTGTCTTTCTTCTTTGTGGCATCCCAGCCTTCAAAGAAGCTCTGCCAGAAGGGAAAGTGGAAGTCAGTGGGGAGAGAAGCCCTCCACTCCTAAGAACCCTATCCTCTCAGCGGATGCTGGTGGGACCATGATAAGGGCCAGGTTTGTGGTTAAACTTAGAGCCTAAGATAAAGTCACTGTAAATCCCTTTATCAGCTTGGTTCAAAACCAAGCAGCGGTGGGGAAAGAGAGAGTGAGAAAAGGGGGAAAAACGAGAATTCAGAGACATTTTAAGATAAGAATCAGGTTTAGGTTAAATCCAGGTTTGAGTTGGGAAATGAGGTAAAAGTAAGGGTCAAATTAAGATTAGGAAAAGGGTGGTGTCAGACAGAGTCCAGAGCAGTGGTTCTCAACCTGCCTAATGCCGCGACCCTTTCATACAGTTCCTCATGTTGTGGTGACCCCCAATTTCACTGTTACAAATTGAACATAATTAAAGCATAGTGATGAATCACAAAAACAATATGTAAGTATAGATGTGTTTTCCGATGGTCTTAGGCAACCCCTGTGAAAGGGTAGTTCGACCCCCAAAGGGGTCGTGACCCACAGGTTGAGAACCGCTGGTCTAGAGAGAGGGAGGATGGATTCAAATTAGAGTTAAATGGAGCTTAGGATGACAGTCAGGGTCAGAGTCAGACTGGGGGTTTGAGGTCAGGGTCAGTGTTGGTGGTCAGGTTCCTGTTAGGAATAGGATGAGGAGCTTGATCAGAATGGAAATGAAGTTAAGATTCAAGGTCAGATATCAAGTCAGGGTTAGGAGACAAGTGAGAAATCAGATTAAGTCTGAGATTAGGATCAAGGTCAAGTAAAAGAAGTTAAATTAAGTTGGGGACCATCAGAGCAAGAGTCCCTTGGGAGGGGGCTGAGGGGCGGCAAGGGCAGGGTGCACAGGGAGGAACAGGCGAGGCCCTGGTGAGGGGCCCTGGCTGGCCTGGGGCCCTGCACCTCGTACTCCTGCTTGAAGCCATAGCCCTCGGCCGTCTTCATCTGGTTGATGTGCTGCAGGAGGTCGGCCACACGCACCGCAGGATGCAGCTGCCCCGTGTGATACGGGGAGCCCTTCCGGCCACACGGACGCCGCGGTGAGCCCCCCAGCAGGCTGCTGGCCTCAGTGACCCCATTGCCGCGCTGGTCCCCTGCAGATGGAGATAGGGAAAGGGGTTCCTGACACACACAGGCCCAGCCTGGGGAGCCCTTGAGGGACTAGAGGAGCCAGGGAAGGAGGGAGCATGGGCAACGTGGAGGATGGGGTCCTTCCTCGCTCTTTCAGGGAACAATCTGGAACTCTGGCAACTCCCAGCAATTACCCCCATTCAAAGAAAAGCAAATCCCAAAACTCAAAGATAAGCAAATCCCAAAATTAGCAGCTGAGGCCACCCCCTCTGCAGATTAACGCAAGGCACCTGAATAGAGACGTTTTCCCTGTGCAAGCATTTCCATTGTCAGTCTGTGCAGCAGCCTCAGCCAATCAGGGAACGGGTGGAGAGGTTCCCTGTGCCCCCCAATAAAACTGTACCCTCCCCCCTGACCAACCCACTCCCTGGCTCTTCCGGTCCGTCCCTCCAAGGATGTCCCACCTGGTCCCTGAGATCAGGTCCTGGGATTGAGAAAACAGTCCACTCAATCCTCCCACCTTCAGACACTCACTCCCGCACACTTACTTAACACTCCTTTCCCTCCTGTCCTGGGTAGGGGTGGAGGACTCTAGGCCGGCTCCCCAAATTTCTCACAGCTACTCTCTGCCCGGGTCTGAACTGGCAGAGGAGAGTGGGGAACTGCCAGTGGGGCCTACATGCCAGCTCCCACCCTTCCCTCTGCCTTCACACATGCTGTTCCCTCTGCTCCCAACACCCTTCCCCTCCTGTTTTTGCCTCGTGAACTCACACTCATGCTTCAGATCTCAGCCAAATGGTGCCTGGCCTCTAATTCCTACTCACGACTCACTGATAGAATGAATGAATGAATGAATGAGCACCGGGCACACCCTGCACACCCCGACTTCCCCAAACTCCAGTCCCTGTCCCTTCAAATCAGAAGACTGCCGGGCCCTGCTTGGGCCCCCCTTCCTGGGCTGGGTTTGAAAACTGGCTTTAGGGGCTCCAAGCAGAAAGGCAATTTCCAAGGCAGGGCTTATACGTTTCTCTTCTCTCAAGAATCAAAGTCCTGAGCTGCTGCCATTCAATGTCGGAAAACAATTGCTTCACATCTTTTGTCCCGATTTCCAGTTGCTTACAGCCGGAGAGCAAGTCGAGTGCCTGTTACGCCATTGTGGCCAGATGCCCAAACCCTTAATTTTACAGATGAGGAAACTGAAGTCCAAAGATGAGAGACTTGCCTAATGCAGCCATTGCCAAAGTGTGTTCCAGAAAATACTAGTCATGTCACATGACTAAGTGGTATTCCATTAAAAAGAGGAGGAGGAGGAGGACAAAGAGGGGTTCTACATTTTAAGGAAATCTTTGAAATTCTGGTTTAAAAATAATAAGCAAGGGGGTTCCATCATGTAATGGTTAGCACTCTAGACTCTAAAAATAATAAGCAGGTTTTTTCCCTGTAAGACCTGTTTAGGGCTTCCAACATGGTAGTGTGCATTTTAAATCTCCAAGAGTGGGGCGGATACAGCAATGTTTCACCACCGGCCTGCACCGCGAGAGCTTTTTTGTTTCATGAAACGCCCTCAGGGAACACAGTGTAATGTGGCGATTAAGAGACAGGCTCTGGAGTCAGGCCGCAGATCAAACCCCAGCTCTGCCGGTGACCTTGGGGATGTCACTCTCTCCGAATTGTCACTTTCATGCGTCAAATGAAAAAACAAAGACCTGTTACTCTCCAACCTGATGATGTAAGTATTAAATAAGAGAATGTGCGTGAAGCACGCAGCCCCGTGCCCGGTACATGATGAGCGCCTGCAGATGGCAGCTATTGACTTAGGAGTAGTTTCCAGAAAAGGGAGGAACCCGTGAGTCTCAGAGAGCCGCGGCAGCTGGCTGACAAGAGGAGGCCTTCCTGCCTTAGTCCCGCTCCGCTGTAGGACTCAGTCCAGGACCTGACAATTCTAAACTGCACTACAGCAAACACACAATTGCAAAGCTTTCTAAACAAAGGATTTCTGCTGGTTCGAAGAACTCCAAGATGGGAGGGGGACAGGGAGGGGGGAGGATCCCTAGTGCTCTTTGTGGAAACCATGCCAACAGCTCTATGGAGGACTCTCCCGGGAGAGAAGAGGGTAAAGGAGGTGATGGGGAATCCAGCAGCTCATCCCAGAGACCCTGAAAGTTGGGCAGCCTGACGCAGCCTCACAAGGAGGCACGATCACAATGGCTGAATGGCCAGGCCCAGAGGCTCTGAGGGTTCTCATAGGCAGGATTTCAGAGACAACATCCCAACACCCTGGGAACATTCACTGCCCGCCTGCCACCGTGTGCTCAGCACGAGAAGCCCCGATTTTAACATGTGCACACTGAGCATGCATCCAAATCAACATGGCTTTCTGTCCTAAACCCCCCAGATCTGGCCTACACTGTTTGGGAAAGAAAAGAAGAAAGTGGAGGCTAGAACAGGGTGGGGCCTGGATAAATAGAGAGAAGGCGCTGAGGCTCAGCTCCGGTCTCCAGAAAATTCCTTAAGTTCCCCTGCTGTCACCTCTTCACCCAGGTCCTGCATCCTACCTTCAGTGCCCACTCCCTCCTCACCATCAGTCAAATCTTACCCATCTCAGCCGAAAACCTGGCCACCCCTGCCCAAAGGTGCATCTTCTCAAAACCCTGGCAGTATTGGTAGTCCCCACCACCCACCTGGCGATTTCCCCATCACCCACCTGGTGATTAGCCTGGCACTGACTTCCCTGGCTCGGCCTTGTCTCCCCAGCCCATCAGTGAGTTCCTTGGGAGCAGAACCCGGGTTTCCTACCTCTGGGTCTCTCAACAGGACACAGCAGCAAGATGTGCGCCCCCATCACCCTCCCCTCCCACTCTCCCCAACACCCACTGGAGTTTTCAGTCTGATCAGACCTCTCCTTGCTTTCCATAAAGATTATATGCCCACCCCCGTGCATTTGCACGTGCTGTTCCTCATCCACGAACGCCCTTTCTTCCCCATCACTGCCTGTCCAAATCATACCCATTGCTCAAGGCCTAGCAGGATACAGTAGAAACAGAAGTTTGCAACTCAGAAAGACCTGCATTTAAATCCTGGCTATGCCACTTCCTGGCTCTTTGACCTGGACAAGTGACTTTGCCTCTTGGAGCTTCTGTTTCCTTGTTTGTAACATGAAGGGTTGCTAACAGCTACCACGCACTGCGGTGAAAATTTAAGGAGGGAGGCCACAGAGAGAACATGATGAGGAACTACATGTCCATGAATTTGAAAACTTGAATGAAATGGACAAACTCTTAGAAAAAAATTAACTTACTAAAAGTGGCTCGAAAAAGAAATCAAGAGCTTCAATAATTCTTTACTCCTTTAAATAAGTTGAATTAAAAGTTTAAATTTTTCATAGAGAAAAGAACGGAAAGAGATTGTCTTACAGATGAATTCCATCAGACTTTCAAGGAGACATTTATTCCGATCTTCCATGATAAAGAAAAAAGAAAAGAAACTTCAATGCATTTTATAAGACTAATGGAATTTTGATGTCAGAAACCAAAGATAGTACAATCCCACTCAGAAATACAGCTTTAAAATCTTGAACGATATTATAATTATACTGAATCCAGCAATACGTAAAAAATCTAATGCAACATGGCCAAGTTGAACTTATCTCAGGACCCAAAGGTTACTTTAACACTAGAAAAGCTAAATGTCACTTGCCTCATTAACAAGGGAAAATATGTCAATAAGGCAGAAAAAAGGATTTGGTAAGTTTAATGCCCATTTAAAATAAAATGTCCTAGCAACCTAAAACTGAAGGAACTTTGTTAATCTGATAAAACGTTTCTACCAAAAACTATAGTCAGTGTCATTCTCAGTGTTTAATGTTAAGAAGCACTCCTTTTAAAATCAGGAAAATGTTACAAGAATTCCAGCTATTACTACTTCCATTTAACACAGTACGAGAGTTCCCAACCAGTGCTATTCAGAAAGACAAGAGGGAAAGGAGTGAGAAATAAAGAAGAAACAGAACTGTCAGTATTTGCAGTTCTTATGATTGTACTGAGAAAATCTGGAATATTCTACAAACAAATTATAATTAATGAGAAATTTTATCAAAAAGTATGCATATGAGATCTAGTTACATACAGAAATCAACTACATCGTCTATACAAGCAACAATTAGACATGTAATATTTAAAAGTATACCATTTGTACCGGGAAAACTGGATAGCCACAAACAAAAGAATAAAGTTGGATCCTTATCTAACACCATAGACAAAGCTTAAGTCAAAATGGATCAAAGACCTAAATGTGAGACCTAAAGCTTTATTATAAAACTCTTAGAAGAAAATGTAGGGTGGCAATGATTTCTAAAAGGCACATGCAATAAAAAATAAAAAAACAAAAAGAACACAAAAAAAAGGACTTCATGAAAATTTTAAATGTTTGTGCACCAAGAGATACTATTCACAAAATAAAAAGGTAACCCACAGAATGGGAGAAAATATATGCAAATCAGATATCTGAGAAGGAATTAATATCCAGACTATAGAGAGAGAGTGTCTAAAACTCAACAACAACAATAACAACAAAAACCTGATTCAAAATGGGCAAAGGGCTTGAACAGTCATTTCTCCAAAGAAGATGACAGCACATGCACAACATTTGACACTAGGGACATGCAAATCAAAACTCCGCGATCCCACCCACTCTCCTTAGATGGCATTTATCAAAAAAAAAAAAAAGCAGAAAATACAAGTACTGGCAAGAATGTGGAGAAACTGGAACCCTGGTACACTGTTGGTGGGAATGTAAAATGGTATAGCCACGTGGAAAATATGGCGGTTTCTCAAAAAAAATATTAAACATAGAATTACTTTATGATCCAGCAATTCCATTTCTGGATATAGATTAAAAAAACAAACAAACACACAAACTGAAAGCAGGGTCTCACAGACATCCATGTTCGTAACAGTATTATTCACAATAGTTTAAATATAGAAACAACCCAAGTGTCTATTGACAGATAAATGGATTTTTAAAATGTGATTTCTATATACAATGGAATATTATTCAGCCTTTAAAGGGTGGGGGGGCAGATTTTGAAAGATGCTACAAGATGGAGAAACCTTGAGGACATTATGCTAAGTAAAAGAAGCCAGTCACAAAAACACAAACACTTATATGAGATAATAGAATAGTCAAAATCATAGAGACAGAGGGTAGAATGGTGGCTGCTAGAGGCTGGGAAGAGAGGGGAAGGAGGAGTTATTATTTAAGGAGCACAGAATTTCAGTCTACAAGTGAAGAGAGCTATGAAGGTGGATGGTGGAAATTCTGCACAACACTGTGAATGAATTTAATACACTGCACTGTACACTTAAAAATGGCTAAGATGGTAAATTTCATGTTATGTGTATTTTACTACACATGCACAAAGAAGGTATCATTTGCAGTATAAACAAAAAATATAAGGGACCTGTGGATATACCTAACAAAAACGTATAAGATTTTGTGGAAAGAATAGTTGAAAGACATTCAGGACCTAAATAAATGGGGTGATATCCTATCAAAGTGTCTGGTCATCCGGTCAGCCATTCAACCAATCAAAGCGTAATATGCTAATGATATGCTAAGGTCACCCAACAGCTTGCTATGATGTGCACTGACCACCAGGGGGCAGACGCTCCAACTGATAGGTTAGCTTGTTGCCAGGGTCTGCTGATCAGGACTGAGCAAGATGGGCCGGACACACCCTGGAGCCATCCTGCATGGTCCCTCTCTGGCTGGCCAACCTCCCACGTTCCTCCCCAGCCCTGATCGTGCACTGCTGGGGTG